ACAGCAAGCTAAGTATGCGGACGTGATCGGAATACTAATTGGTTGTTTAAATCATATTATACGGGGGAGAGGCGGGTAGTCAATTCGAAAGTCATACTAACGGAATGCGAGGTATATTCCCTTGACTATCTCTGTACCACTTTGGGCTTTGCCAAATACATCGCCTTAAATGACCATCCTCCTATGAAGATTGAGGTAGAGAATTCGAAGAGAAGCGTGAGATCACAGAAATAGCTGAAGTTGGGGGCCAAATGACAATAGTATGTGGGAAAGTAGTCGTTTTTAAAAACTCTTTGCGCATTATTTGCAAAAGACGAATAGAATTAGAACCAATGCTTAGTTTCGAGGTTTGTTTACCGTTTTCTGGCCTGAAAATGCACGCACAACGCAGGTTCCAAAGCAATTGCTTGTAATGATTTTCTGGCTATTTTGGTAAGTGACTGCCATACCCATACATAAACAAAACAATCGGTTATATCCAGTAGTATAAACGTCTACGTTTTGCGACCACTACAATGTTTTGTTTATTTGAGCAACTGCATTGAATGGCTGCTATCTTGGTGAGCACCATGCTTCCGTCGTGTGAAGCTATTTTTGATTAGGCCGTAGTCTCACTTCTATGCCTTCCGCCTAAATTCTAGCATCCACTAATACTCACTGCCTTTCCTCACCGAATGGGGGATTTGGATCGTCATGGATCCCTACATGAGCGCTACTGCTTGGCTGTTAGGCTGAACGACAAGTCACAGTGACGCAGAAGACTTTCGCATCCTCATTGCCCATAAACTATCATCCGGGATACTTATAAAATATTAATTGTTTCGCCGTAAAAAATCATGCTGGAGAACATTGCATCTTTTTAAATCGTTCTAGTAAACTGTTTTTGAAACTTAAGTACTTGGCAACGCATATAAATAATGCCCCCTCACATCAATTTTGAATGTGTCCATTGAAGTGAGCGATTGTTATATAATTATGTCAAAGGTAGACTTACTGAAATCCACTGTTATTCATCATTTTCAAAGATGCATGAAGGACCTTGAATAAACTTATTTGTTGTTATAAGCTTTCAACTTAAATCTGATTGGTTAAGTCGGAAACGTCTTGCCATTCGAACGGGGTCGCTTCATTACTGTAGTTGTTAGCGTTGTATTCCACAGGTAAGGCATTGCGGATTTTGAAATTCTCCTCTTAGCAATACCGAAATTGTATTATTATTTCATTACTTTAGACTCCGTTATATTATGTTGAAGTGCGTCAAAATTAGTGCTCCTCTTTTCGTCCTTACTACATATTTTGTTGTTGCCTTCTCGGAAAACCCGGTTGTAAATGGCGTTATTCCTAGTGAATTCATTGGTCTCAGCGACGGAGTTCTTGAAGTTCCGCCCAATAAAAACATTTCTTTGCATATTTACGGGGAGAATTTCGAAAACGTGACATACTTGGCCTTCGCAACATCTAGAGATGAACATTCATTTTCCTGTGAGAATCATCGTGCAACAATTGCCTTTATTGTACAGAAATCCACATTCTATTTACTTGAGGCGTCGGTTTTGCTGCGCCAATTGTCGTCTTTCGAAAGTGCTTTCTATATCTGCTTCAAATTAGCTCATCCGCTTTACCACCAGAATCAAACTATAAGCTGGGTTTACGCCAACCCGATGCATCCAGCAGCAGTTGTCACTCTCCGTACAGCATCTACCATTATGCCTTTATGGGTTCAGATTATTCTCATTATTATTCTTTTCTCATTGTCGGGCCTCTTTTCGGGGCTTAACCTTGGACTGATGGCGCTAGATAAGACAGAGCTTAAGATTATTGAAACTGCTGGGGACCCTGATGAGAAGCGCTATGCAAAAGCAATTCGTCCTGTAAGGGAGAAAGGGAATCTGCTACTCTGTACAATCTTACTCGGAAATGTGACGGTCAACACATCTCTTACTATACTCATGGACAATCTAACGGGAAGTGGTCTATTTGCAGTCATTGCCTCGACCCTGGGCATTACCACATTTGGTGAAATTCTTCCCCAAGCAATATGTTCCCGCCACGGTCTCGCCATTGGGGCAAAAACGATCTGGCTTACACGATTTTTCATGGTAGTCACATTTCCACTAGCCTTTCCAATCAGCTTTGTTCTGGACAAAATGCTCGGGGAAGATTTGGGTCAGGTTTACAGCAAGGAAAAACTAGGTGTACTATTAAAAGAGCAGGTAAGTAGTGTGAACATATTTTATTCTGATGGACTTCTTCCAATAGTGCCACGAGATTTTGAATTACCTCGATTTTTGATCATTTCAGTGTCGTTTATCAAGTACATGTAAAAGCATCAATACCTTGGTGACTTTCTTGAAGACGATTAGGCTTTTTATATTAAATGCATTTAACCTGACAAACTTGACTCATTGGATGGAATTTGCATTTTTTGACATTCAAGTTTTTATTTCACAGTAATTAACTCAAATGATTGAAAAACCTTTGAACCCTCATGGTACTTGAACAAATTCAAGTGGTCTAAGGGTCGTAGACAAGAGTTGTTCATACTACATCTTGTTTAGCTCTTATGCTTATGTGACAAGTACCTTAGCCCTCTACAATTGTCCTTTGCGAGCCTCGAAGTGCGTCTTTCCTCATAACGCTACTCTAAAATTTGAGTGCAGACCTCTGAAGCTTGTGTCTAGTTGGATGAAAAGGGAAGATTGAACTCTTGTTGATTAAGTTGGAGGTTCCTCCACAGTTTGTTGCCGAACGTTTCTAATGTGTACCATTAATGTGCAAACTTCTTTAACATTTTGTACTTAAACTGTTCAAATCCCATGAAATTGTACTCTTTGAACTGGTACGATACTGAACGTTCTAAATGCCTAATAATTCTAATTATGGAGAATTAATTTGTTATTATTGAAATTTTTGTTCGGTTAAAGTGATTGATTATATTGATAGCATGTTTTGATGCATTAGATCTTACTGTAGGACACTGAGTCTGGTGACGAACGTTGTTATAAATGAGGAGGTGGGATGCCCTTGTTGAGATCATGCGAATTTCTGTGAATGGTTGGCGTCTTAAAAGCATGCGATTCTCTTGCTGCTGCCGTCTCCACGCATATGAAATGGGGGTTCCACTCCTCTTATCATCTGGTTTTGTATGGTTTTTTTCGGGGAACCTGGCCACTGGATTTTAGCTACTTAGTGTTTAAATGGATTCATACCTTATTCTCTCATTCCATCTGTTAGCTAGGCTCTCGGACTGCTCTACGATTGTCGAAATCACCTACTCAATAGTAACACCTTTTTATCCAGGAATCTGGTTTTCTCGATGTGCTAGTTTTTCTTATTTCTATTTGGTAGCAAGATGCCGGTCTTGTTGCACCTGATGAAATGAACATAATTGCTGGTGCCTTGAACATGTCTACAAAGACCGTGAAGGACATTATGACCCAACTTAGTGATGCTTTTATGCTGCCCAGCACGGCCCTCTTGGACTTCGACACAATGAACGAGATATTTTCCCATGGATTCACTCGAATTCCCATGTATGAGGGCGATCGGAGGAACATCAAAGCTATTCTCAATGTCAAAGACCTTGGCTTCATTAATGCCGATGACAAAGTGCCCGTGGCAACTGTTTGCAACTTCTACAATAGGTCTATTGTTGTGGTACCGGAGACCACCAGCCTTGAGGCCATGCTCAAGGAATTTAGACAAGGTATTTTAAATAGATTTCTCCTTTAAGCTTATTTATAACGCCTCTTGGGTTTGAGTGTAAGCTGTATAATTTTTTGCATGACGGGACTATTGCAAGCATGGTCTTGCTTATTAAAACGCACTCAAAAGTGTTGGTTATGCTTGGATGAATTTTTTATGATGGGTCCGAGATAAAATGCATTCCGACTTGGTTTTTTTTCGTCTGTGGATTATGGTATGATCGTGGCTGAAAGCAAAAAACTTAGTAGTGGTCGAAGCAAAACTAGATTTGGTAAACTTTCCCTCTTCTCCAGCTAGAAATGCAGTCGCTTATAAGCAAACTGGTTTCTTTCAGTGTCCCATCGCCTAACTCAATAAGCCAGTTTTGGGTGGTTTCCTTCTCTCGTTTTTCTGTTCGGTTTTAAATTGTTCCATTCGACTAAGAATCTGTTTACTTTGATAATCCTCCATCAATTACTAATATTTTCAAGACTGGAAGGTGTCCAAGTATATCCTAATGAGCTTGATAGTGATGGTGTGCTATCATTCTTCCACTTTGGTTTCAGCTTATCAAGATGCATTTCAAATATAGTTCACGAGTTTCTGTTCAACTTAGTCATTGATTTGTTTATGTTTCACAAGAGCGCATTTCCCATCCCCTATGCACTTTTAAAATACTTGGGGCTTCAAAACCAGACAGCCTTCAAGGGTTGAATTGATTGACAAAGTCTCGTTCTATGCATTAAAGCATTGGGCTAAGTACTCCCGCTGAACACCGGTGTACTCCTCACTTAATATCCTATCAAGTCCTAGTATACAAACTTCCAGTTTAAATTTTTCAAACAAACACTTTTTGTGATTCCATCAGCTTTACTGAGTTTTAAATGTTCTCATGGTGCCATCGCTTCTAATTGGTAGCATGACTGTGGTTTGTGGTTGATGAATGCAACATTTAGCATCATTGCAGAATATTTGCGTTGATGTTAGCGTTTGAGCTGCTTCGGTTAACATAATTCGTTTTGGCATTTTGTTGAGTCCGCTGCATCTTATGTTGCCTATCCCTTCAGTGTCGGTGATTTTTCGGTCTGTGGTCTGTTTATGTTTACTTACATCGTTCACACACTTTACTTGCTAGTTTCATTGTTGCTCTAGTTTGTATGGCGCTCAGGTGCGGTGTTCTAATTAAGTTCTATTTCATCCACGCTTATGCCACGCTCATTGGCACCTTATTTTAATGTCGTGACAAAATTCTGCCTTTACTAATGTACGTATGAATTTTTGCAAAAATAGGTGAGGCTTGATTGCGCTAACTTTCACTAAATTTGCATTCTCTTCAGCATTTGTTTAACGTTTAGCGTCAAACACTTGCGTTACGCCAACCATATTGTCAATCCACTTGCATTCTAGGATCAGCATAATCTAGTGCACCTTTTCCTATTTTCAGGCAAGACTCACATGGCTTTTGTGGAACGTATCACACCCAACGGTGTTGGTGATCCTTTCCAGGAATTGGTTGGTCTTGTAACACTAGAGGATGTTATTGAGGAAATAATTCAAGCTGAAATCGTGGATGAAACAGATATTTTCAGTAAGGTTAACAATTTAGTACTTAATTTGTTTCTTTGTTTCACGCTTGCAGTTAAACGAGTTTGAAGATAAACTTTTTGTCTCAGCGTAGGCAATATCTCTCTTTTTCTTACAACTTGTTTTTCTCAAGACTAACATAATGGCTGAACAGGTAAGATCACAGCTACCGCAAAGCTATTACTGAGTTCTTAGTTTTTTGATGGAAAACATGTTAAAGACTAGCGTATATGCTAGTTTAACTTACTGCATTAGTTTATGTAATTCCCACTCCATATTTTTAACGCATTTTCATGACTCGAAACCCACCATCTACTCGAAGAACTCAATTATTGATGCTCCTTTTAAGTATGGAAAAGCTTTTTATTCATAGCGCTCCCGAGCGAAACTTTGGAATCTTAACTCAGCATGCGAAGGCTCACTTGATGGCTCAGCAATTTTCCTATCTAGCATTAAACAAATGGATCCAAAACTTTAACGTGCATGCTAAGTGGCTCCATTGTTTTGATATTCTCATTCAATCGTGCTTTTGTTCCAGCTGATAATACGAGGAAGCAGCCACGCCTCGTTAGAAAAACAGACTTCCGTGTTTTTAACACCTCAAACTCCAACAAACCGCGCCATCATCTATCACCGCAGCTCAAAATTGCTGCCCTGCGCCACCTCGCTTCGAGTAAGTTAACTTTTCTCTTCCACAGCATTTTAGCC